CGCTCCATGGAAACTATGATGTACAGAAGCCACCGGTGAGCCGTTTAGAGTCTCAGTCTTGATGAATATCGTTTCTCCAAAGTTGCAACCAAAATGGACCACAGCTACCCCAGAAAAGTGGGGCAGCGGCCATTTCTAGAAAACCAAGGTGCTGGAACTCCAGGTGACAACATCGGCCTCGACCCCCTGCTGGCCTGAAGCTTGAAACAGGAGCCAAAGCGCCCACGGCCAGTGTCCTCCTCTGCCGCAAGCACTGATAGTGGCATTAAAGCTTACCAGATTCGGAACCACTCTGACCTGCAGCATGTTTGACAACAGCTGGACGGCGGCTTGCCACTGCCCGCTCCTCTCACAGCCGCTTATCCCAGCATTGAAGCTGATCACATCCGGCCGATGTGCGGTCGCACATAGCTCTGTCAGAAGCTGCAAAGCAGACTGCCACTGTTCAGCTCGCCCACATGCAGTGATGAGGGAGTTGTATGTTATGGTGTTCGCAGCCAGCCTACGCCTTGCCAGATCAGCAAAGAGTTGGAGAGCACCTTGCCACCTCCCCTGCTTCCCGCAGCCATGGATCCCCGTGTTGTAGCTGACAACATCGGGTTCTACTTCAGCAGTGCTCATCTGCAATAGCAAGCTGATGGCCAGATCCCACCGTTGACCCTTCTCACATGCACTCATAGTGGAATTGAAGCTGACCACATCTGCTCGGAGCCGAGCAACCGGAATACAAGAAAGCAGGTGAAGACCGAGCTGCCACTGGCTAGCTGCTCCGCAACAGCTGATTTCATGGTTGACGGAGTGCTGAGATAGGTCATTCCCGGAGACATGCCCTCGCCAGTCTACACCCTCATTGCATGGAATCGTCTTGCAAAGAAACCCGGTCGAAAAGGAATTCGCCATCTTGCAAGCGGAGGACTCCGCAGTCCCTGGGCTGCTCCCGAGCCTGTATTTCAGAAGCTGCGCGTGTCTTCCGGGGGGGCCCGGCCCTTCTCTAAACAAAATAACGGCTAGTCCATCGGATCCTTACTTGGGCAGGTTCAGCTACCAGTATAACTTAACGATGTTCCAGTATCAGACCGGACCACCGAATCGGCTGCAGCCGCCTAGAGCCCACAGACCGCATTTTGTAGCTAACTCCTGGCCCGAACCGCTAGACCACGTGCCAAAACTTGAAGCTTGCAAACCGCAAGCTATGATTATAGCCACAAGCTTCTGCGCCCTCGTTCCCGAGCCCCCAAAACGCCCAAACTTGTCACCGGGTGGGGCCTGTGGCCGAAGGGACGCATCCTCCATAGCCTTCTGGATAAGCTTGAGGCACCTTGGGCTCTCATGTCTGTGGCCTTCGGCAGCATCACCCTTAAAACATAAGGTCGCACGGAGTCTCTGGCGGACCATGCGCCAAGGTGTGTAAGCATGTCAGGCTTGCGCGTGCCTCACATTGCACCAAGCCGCTGTGCATGATCTTCATGCTTGATTGTGCCTCGGCCAGAACAGGTACCAGAGCTCAGGACTTCAGGATGCATGTGCTAATGGCTAGGCGGCTAGACGGCTAGAAGACCTTGGAAGTACACGACGACCCGATCCACGTCGTTCGCAGGGCTTGCAGCAATCACAAAGCAACCCCATTCACGCCATCCCCTCTTGCTCGGAGCGATTGCATGCATTTCGCAGCGCGCGAGCAACGCTACTACTGCTGCTTCTGCTGCGACTGCCACTGCCAATGCCACAATTACTGCGACGACGACTTCGACCACCACGACTACGACCTCTTCTGTGCTATCGCAACGCCAACTCCGCCCCCTGCTGCCACTCATTCTTTTGCGTCTGTCACTGGCATTGTGGTCACTGTCATCGTCGCGACAGTTACCAGTCGGACCGGGTGTGCTTTGCAAAACCCACATGGACTGAAAGGTCGAAGTGCACGAACACTGGCCAGGGCGCACATGTCAGGATGTGGGTAGACGTAATTCGGCGGCACCTTGACACCTGCCTGCAAGCATGCAGGTGAACTATTACACTTGGCTCATAGAGCATCGCTCAAACTGGTTTGGAGCCGAGGTTCTCATGCCAAAGCCGCTTGAACCCATTGTTGTGAGATGCCGCAGGCATCGATTCTGTCAAAACTGCACTCTCCCTAGTCACTAGTCCCAGTCATCGCCCCGCTCAGAATGATTCGTGTCGTCATCGCATGATGACAGCGACGGTATGATGCTGGCACTACTCAGGCTTTGGCATGCAGCCCTCGACAGGAACCCTCGCGGCCTTGGCTGCGAGTTTCGTGGCCCCGCGCTGCCCCAAGTACCTGCAGTTGGAAGTCTAAGCACTCAAGGCGGCAGCCGATCATGGAAAGTGCATCGAACTTCATGCAACTTTCCCCTGAAGCCTCATGTGCGACGAAGTGAACAAGCAAGCCACTGCCTGATGTATTGTCCATCATATACATACAGAAGATATATAGCACACAGACATGTGCAGTGCGCAATCAGCCAATGTTCGCCTGCATCCGCACCTTCGTATAAGTATATGTACGGCTTTCAGACAAGCCCTTGCTGCCTTCAAAGCCTCTATATTCTCCTCGCCAGCCCACTCCCTAGGGCGCATGTGCGAGATCCCAGTGTGAGCGCCCTTCGTCCAAGGGTCCGTGGGCGCCTTGGAGCAGAGTTTGGCGGTGCTGTTACAAAGTCTCTTCCGGTCTGGCGTTTGGGGTCGCCTAGGCCATGCGTCTGAAGACCTCTCCTCTATGTGATCTGATGCCAAAACCTCTGAAACCGACACCCCCAACTCGTTGAACCCTGAATCAGCCGGCCTTGGTGCATGCCTTCAAAACAGGAAATTAAGCTGGCAGAACTTCGAAAATTCTGTGGTCATCTGGGATTGTGTGAGGATGGGAGCTGTTCTTGTGGCTTGAGCGTTTCTTTTCCCTTGGCTTGAACGTTTGGGGTCCCAGGCTTTAATGAAACTTGGGGTCGTCTAAGATCCAACACCCAATACTGTCTCCTGGACCCTTATGAAGCCTATCAGCCCCCAAAAGATCCCTTTTAGAGGCCCTATAATCCTAAATCATTATCGGATTATGACGTAAGCTCCGGTAGACTCTAGCTGACTCTATCTCTAGAGCAGATAAGGCACCTCCGGGTTCAAGTCCAACTTCACGTAGCACAGCCTGCTCTCTTGGGAGTCTAGACGGGTTCTTCTTATCAGTTCAGAGGCTTACTGATGTTGTTTCCGTCCTACCTAGGAAGGACCTTCTTGATGTTTAATGCCTAGATTTTGGGCTTCAGAAGAGTTCCTGTATTAAGGGTTCCTTCAACTGTTCCTGGAAGGGCTCCATGCTCGGATACTGGGAGTTGTGGAAAGAAGCATGCAGCTCGCAGCTACACCCATAGCAAACCTGAGTATCAGACTTTGCAGGCTTGAGGTTGAGTAAGGGTTCGGGTTTCGGCGCTCACACTCGGACAATCCAGGGCTCTGGGATTCAGGGTTCAAGCACAAGACTTACATGTCGCTCTGTTTGGGTCCGCACAGGAAATCGGCACCCATGGTCTTCGGCAAAACTCCTCGATAGTCCGTGGTCCCTCTGCCCCAAGCCTTCCCTCTTGAAAGCCTAAACAACCAAGACCACCGCTTTCCGAAAGCCATCCTCCTCACGGCCTTGGGATTAAGGAGCTGGGCTGACGAAATCAAGATTTAGCAAACTTGCCCCTGGAAGCAGGGTGCCGACTGAAGCTGCAGCATGGTGGCTCATTGATCCACCCCATCAAGTTGCCATCCTCGGAATCGTTCCACTCAAGACGGAATGCCAAACCGCTACACAAGCCGGAAGGGGCACATGCATTCCAGGAATGCCGAGCGACTGCATTTGCATATCCGCCACCCTCACTGGAGCCCATGGAGATGCCCATGACCTGTGTCTTCCCAGTTTGGAATCCGGGGGTGCAGGCTTCAGCGGGAGTTTGCCAGTGTGGATTTGCTTCGTGACCCTCTTTTCAATTTGGGTAAGCATCCAACCCATATGCTGAAACTTTTCGTAGCGGATCTCTGCAGCAACCGGCATGAGCCAACAAATACATTGCACGATGTCGCGTTTGAGGTTGCTGCTTTCCGGGACGTCTGTCAGTTTGGCCGTATGGGGCCAGTTTGCTAGTGCAGGTTGAATTTCGAGTGGGCACTGCCAGGACCCTCGCATTTTCGATGCGACCTTCATCAAACCTCAACCCTGCCGCTCAAGGCAAGCAAAAATGTCCGGCAAGCAATTTGTCCTCAGCGAACTACAGCTATTGGAAGTGCCGGCACCCATCGCAGCTCAGTAGCGTTGCCCTTGCCGCCTAGCTTCTGCACCGCAGCCAAAGCCGTGACCTTGACAAAGTTATGGATTCGACGGCGGGGGAATCCGAAAACGAGCGCAGAGAGAAAGAGAGCGAGGGCAAATACAAGAATTCTTGAAGAATCTCTCAGATGCAGGCATGGCTATAATGTGAACACATATGAAAACGCCAGGTACACAAGCATGTCAGCAAAAACACTACCTAAACGACCATGCAGATGTGCAGCTATGACAACAATCATAACTTACATACATACATACATACATACATACATACATACATACATACATACATACACACACACACACACACATATATATATATATATATATATATATATAACTTATCATATAACGTTATAAAGTATTATAGACATATACCGGCTACATACACATTCAAATGACAAACTACGCAGCGCACGCATCTCAGCTACATACCCATGCTTCTCATGTATAAAAATACCTACATGCTCCTTCATAGTTCGGCTTGGGGAGACTGGCTCACTACATACTTCGAGCTTACATGGCGCAGATTTGAGATCTCTCAAATCTGCGCATTATCGTGTACTCTGGTTGCATTTCTGCTCCTTCCGGCCTAGACTCTAAACCCGGAAGAGCCGCTTTCACAAAATGTGGATACTACCGTTGATATTCGCGGAACTCCGCCGACCCAGCCCTAGAAAACCCCATGCCTTAAGCAGACACCCTTCACTAGCGCCCACACCTCGCCATCGTTGATGACCTTCAGGGGCACGCTCCCAGCCAACTCTTTTGAGATGCGCTGGAAAATGTCCACCACCTTGGCCTGGCAGGAGGTCTCTGTTGGGCAGGCATTAGTTGTCGCACCTTCTGCGTAGGGTTTAGGGATCGAGGAGTTTCAGACTCAAAGAAGTGTACATTACTCATATAGTTTGGGGTGTCAAGTACTAGCTCAGATATCGAATTTCCTCGCTCCATCCCGGAAGCTCAAACTGCACACACCTACCCTGGCTAATTTTTTGCATTGCTGGGCCTCTTCATGAGCCTTAGCTTCCAGAACTGACCGGCCGACAGGTGTGCGTGTGGCTTCTGCTTCCTATAGGTGCCTCCTTGGAGCCTGGACAGCGGAAACTGCTTCGTGGCTGGGCAGACCCAGAAAAAAAGCCAAGACAAAGCCAATGAAGCCCCAAAAACCCACGAGGCAAAATTCCGCTCGGCATCCGGTCCTTGTAGACGGGTGGTGGCACATTCGGGAAGATGTCACCTTAGCTCCGTTATAGTAGACGATGTGTGCCGAGGCCACCGAGATGCCGAAACTACCGCTCTTTAAACAGATCGGCTGCCAGATTTGCGCCCCCCGGCCTTCGAAGGGAAAATTCCGCCGGGCTCAGAAAGCATGTTTTGAGCGTGCAGCAAAAGTATCCCCGGTACTTCTGGCTATCTTTGTCCTTGTCTGCTTCCGGGAGCAACAGCAAGAAACCGAAACCCCAAAGCTGGAAGCCTCGCGCCGAGAGACACCAGGTGGCCTCGTTGTTGGCGCCAACCGTTCCTGTGGCACTGCCACCTATGGCTTGGACGGTCGGCAGCTTCTCCTGCTCTCCGGTGCCGGGAAATTGAAGCTTCGGATTCCAGGTTCCAGGAATTCTAGCGCCTCAATGGGGCTTTAAACCTAACAAAAAGCAAAACGATTACTCCATGCCAAGTCTTGTGAGTATTGGCTTACTTCTTGTACCTCGGAGTCGTCACACTTTGCGGATATTTGCAGCATATTCGGGTTAATCAGTCCAAACGTAAGCCTGTGTGCATGCTCTTGGCCCCGTGTCCGGGTGTTAGTACATGCGCTTTCTTGCATCCGGGCTGAGATGTCCTGGCCGAAAAGTGTAAGTGCCCTGAAACCGAAGATCAAATTGCAGCCATGCCTGCGTCGTGATTCTACCAGCGGGTGTTTCGAAAGGGTTGTACTCCCAGAGCAATGGATGACTGGGCGATGGCTTCGTGATTACAAGGCTGTCGGGATAGGTTCGCGCCTTTGCCAATTTCAAAGCGTCGACGATCGCCTTGTAATGATAGTCGGGGTCCGCGTTTGTAACATCCCACTCTGTCTCTTTCCTGGCTCGAAAAACAACATAGCGCAAGCAATTAAACTTAACCCCTTCTGAACTCAGACACTCTGAGCATGTGTCTGTGCGCATCCATGACCATGTATGCATGACATTTTCTCTGTTTACCCAACATGGCAAAGTGGAACTTCGGCTACTCTAGAGCTATGAAACTCTCAGCCTCAACAAGCAATAAGAAACCCAACACGGCCATGACTCGAGTAGACCACCTGGTTGTCTTTGACAGCCACGGTCCTCAAGCCACGCTGTCACTACGGATTCCGACGCTTGCGGGCAGGGGCAAGGCTAGAGGAGTGAGGCTGCTCGCACTCTCGGTTCTTCCACTGCGTTGTGTAGGAACAACAAAAATAAATCAACAAACATGCGGATATCGGACTAGGTCGATGTATGGGAGCCGGTCCTGAAGAAGGCACGTTGACCCGTGACTAGCAAAAGCCACTTCTTGAACAGTCGCATATCACTTGTAAGTCTGATTAGGGGTCTGCATCCTGAAGAATTTGGATAGTCCAGGCTCGGGTGACTTCAAAGCGCCCTCATGACTGCTCGGGCAAGCAAGGAAATTAAGTGGAAGTTTCTCATAAATTGTACTCATTGCTGTTATTCTTTGTCAGTATTCGTGTTGGACACTGAATGAAGGCTCGGCCAAAGCTTGAATACGAAACAGCTTAGACCAAAGCCTTCTTTTGGAAGTCGCATCCAGAAGCTTACAAAAACAAGAGCATTCGCTTGGGCCATCGGTGTAGTGCATCGGCAAGGATGGAAAAATACAAACGGGGTAGTGCCTGAGCTGAAACAGTCAAGGACCTCCACTTTGCGATGCTCTGTCATGATTCAATGGCTGGACGGTCGTGACTCTGACGGTGTGGGTCGAGATTACCAAACGTCTAAGTATGCGCAGTGGCTAGGGATTTAGCTGAACAAACGTCAGTTGAGACACAATGTCATGTCGTGATACTGTCCGTCCATGAATTGTCAGGATGAAAGGAGCAGGGAGAATAAACGCGTAGCATGCAGCACGATTTGCTGCAGCTGTTAGATTCAAGCACAGCGTCTTAATGTCACTCTTGCCAAGGTCGAAGGCCAGTCTGCAACCAGAGGCATCTTTGCCGCAAACCTGCCAGTGGATCACAGCGATTTGGTGATAAATGCCCTAGGCGACTAACCTTCTTCAACGAAGCCCACCGCATGCCTTCCAAAAGCCGCCGCCGGTATGCTCTCTCTTAAACGTAGCCTTATTCAGAAGCAGCTCTGAGGGCGGAGTCCTCGCGCATCTGTACAAGCTTCAAAGCCCTACAGAATTCACACCTGGCGAATGGACAGACAACTGGCTGGACCATGACTTTTCCAAGGCCGACCCCAAACGCAAACTCCAACCGTTGATAACCCAGAACCCCAGACCCCTGAACGCCACGATGGACAGTCTGACTCCGACCTGTGGCGTGTCCTTTGCTGCCGGCAGCGCAGCTGTGCTGGCGACGATCGTCACGGAGAACGCACTATCTGGAGTTCCGCACCTCGAGTTTGCTTTGATGGGAGTGAGCTGGGCAGACAAGAACCATGCAGTACCGGGAATTGGAATGCCTTGATCGGGGACTTTAGACCCGCGATGGCTCAACAATCCCGACACCCTAAAACTGTGTTTCAGGGCTTAAGGTTATCCGAGCCCATGGACCCTGTGTTCAGATTCGGTACACATTAGGCATCGACTTGACCTCAAACTCGTAGGTCCCGCCAACGGAGAACTCCTTCTTCAATGCCTGCACATGGGAATCGGAAGAGGTTGAGGTTGACCCGAAGCTTTTTCGGGCTTGAGGTGTGAGAGCACTTAAGAAGGGAGCAATAGCGCACACCCGCACAAACACACCCCTGCTTAGTGGATGCATGTCTTAAGTCTTAAGCAAACACACCCAATGGCCAAGGAAGGGAGCTTTTCTGCGCCCTGCCCGAACTAGGAGACTTGGCCCTAGAATCCGAAGCCCTTATAGGGGCCCTGGACTTGAAACTGCCAAATTCTCAAACCCATCTTGCATCACTTGAGTAACCTGTCCGAAAGGCATTCGCGACCCTGCAATCCAGATCTTGGACTCTGCACAGGCCCAATCCTAAGAGTCATCCGCAATCACCTGAAACCCAATAAGCAATAATGAACCCTTCGTGGCTCAATTACTCTTCTCTGCCCTTGTTGCATCCAGGCCTATTGCAACTGCCCGGTACCCCTGAAGAAAAGAAACTGAGGGCCAGGCAAATCTGCAGCACTACTGGCTGCAACACTCACCCAAACACACAAGACATAATGCCTTGCATGCTACCACTTTCAACAGTATCATACACAAGAACTATGCGAAAGTCGGAAAAGGAGACGTGTGTAAACTATGTCAATCTTTAAGGTGGGCTTCGACAAGCCAAGTTTCCAGGCTCATCAGACGCAGAACGGCAAAAGGCTGTGACTGCATTCTAAGGCGACGAATGAGAAAATGCACATCCTCTGTTAGCAAACTCTGACGTAGCGCCCAGGTGCGCACTCCATGCTCCTCATCAATCCAGAAGCCTCAAGCCCATAAGACAGGACTTAGGAGGAGGCCTAAACCCTAAACCCCAACGGGCACCTCGCAGATCTTTGCTGGACCGCAGAGCATCATCGACTGGGCGCTTCGCTGCCAAATCCTTGGAGAAGCTTTGGGCTGAAAGGTCTGAGATAGGGGCGTTAACAAGTATACGTACACTTTAGGGGCATCCAAGAATAGGTATTGTCTATGGGCGAAACATTGGAGCGTCAGTGCTCTTAAGAGTTGTTCTGGCCTCTTCATTTCAAATCGACTAGGTTCTCGAGCCTCTATACTATATGCTACACGGCATTCTGCTGTATCAAGTAGCCCTAAGGAATACGTACTACGCATTCACGCCCCTACTTAACGGGGCTTCGAGCCTAGGGCGGATCTGCAATGGTTTGCAGCAAGGCTTACTGTAGGGCCTTGGGTTTAGACTCGAGGCATCGAGGCTTAAGTCGTATGGGCCCGCAGCAGCATGTTGCGATAAGGTTTTGGCATTAACAAGTTGTACTAAGAGTTAGCGCTTTCAGGGTTCAGGCAACTCCGGGTTTGGGCTTTGGGGGCAAGCCTCTACAAGCCTAAACCTGAAATCCAGGCTTCTGCTCTTGGATGAGGACTCCCGCCAGATATATCGAGGCTTCGACCTCCTTGCTGTCCTGGCAACAAATGCCGCATTGACTCGAGGCTCGCTTCTCTGGCTGGTCTGCTTGAGGGCTTCGACTTAAGGACTTGGCAGTTCACGTCGGGGCCTCAGGCGCAAGTGTCTGGCGAAGAAAACGATAGCTGCTGATTGCTGGATGCAGAAAAGAATGCATATCAAGTTACAGGTGCACTAGAAATACAGTATGACAAAACGATGATCCCTGATGCACCTTTTTTTACGGATGCCTGGACAAAAAGCCTATACAAGGAAAGCACAAGTCGTGACTGCAGGGTCAACACAACTACAACTGGCTAGTTACTTGTGGATCAGGAGGGCTGCGAAGACGGGAATCTACAGACTCTTTGGTACTGATGGTAATTGACACGATAGCCTCGGACCCTCACGATGATCCTTTCATTTCTCTGTGCTTCTTGCGATGTGTAGCTGCAGCCCAACCCTTAAACATACACTACTTCAGTTCCCAGCAATGGAGAAGCCGTCTTTGCAAGCTTCAAAATGTGAGGAACACGAAAAAGAGGCCAAGTCTGGGTGTAGAGTTTAAAAGCTAGCAAAGCTATGGCTCGGCAAGGCTACTGGGACAAGGGGACGCTCCTCTGCAAACACAGGCAGCGTGTAGCCTGCAGTGAGATGGGCGTGGGAAGCGAGGTGAGGTTTAAATTTTGAAACATGCGGGCGTGGTTGAGGGTCTATTCCCTAGCCACTCCTAGGCAAATGTCACATCAATCCTCAGGCGGGCATTGAAGCCCTGCATAAATGGAATGTTCAGGAGTTTTCGTGAGGGTGTTCTAGACATCTCTCAGATCCTCATAGCGCATGACTGTGCAGAAACATGCTCAGAAAGTCCGTAACTAAGGAAGAACTGCAAACAACTTAGACTCAGATCCTCACATAGACCCCACCCAGTGAGCTTATGGAACCTAAACTCGAACCCCAAACTTCCTAAATCCTATGGACACGACATTCATTACATGTATGTACACACCTCTTGTGCCAGGGCACGAGCGCAGCCATCAGCTCGTGGCAGGGCCCAATCCTCGAAAACTCCATATAAACTTGAAGGTTCAGGACTGGGGGTTTGCGACGCTCACGCTCGCACCAGGCATGCAAGGCTCCAGGGGGTCTTAGGGCTGAAGGTCGCAGGTCGAGGGTTTCGGGCTGTGAAGGTATGGGGTTCAAGGGTTTCGTGGGTGCCGGTGTCTTCGATGGTTGGGTTTTACCGGGTCGGGGTCTTTTGCAAATAACAGGGCTTTGCAAATCTGCGTGCGCACTTACTCGTACTTCTACAGCCATAAATCCCTCAAGCCCTAGCACAACCCAAATCCTCCAAAGCCTCAACCCCAAACTCGTATAAAGTTTGGTCCTAAACCTGATGCCCAGAAGACCAATCTCCGATCTGCCCAGTGGCAAGCGTGGCCTTGCTGCCGCTAGCAGTCACGGCCTGACCGACTCAGTCAGGAACAGACAGGGATGGAGCTAACCCCTCGATTGAACTATTTCCCATGATGATGCGCGCGATCGTCAATCATGCCTTCACTTCTGCAGCGCCGTTGTTTGTGGAATGTGCGCGACAGTCAAACGGAACTTCCCTCATGGATGTGCAGCTGCATTGCTGTTAACTGGGATGGTGCAGGAGTTCTGCGCTGCAGCTGGGGAAACAGGTTGAGTGTAGCAGAATAGATTCTTGCTGGCCTCATGGCTTTGGCCCCGGACCGCGCAAGGAAAGACAGTCGAGACAGGCAGATCCTGAACTGAGCACCTTAAACCACCATCAATGCTAGACGAAAGCCTCCCAAGCCCTCTGTGTCGCGCCTGACGAAAGCCGCTTATCCACTTATCCCTGCGTGTTTGTGGCGGAATCAGGAGATAGCAGTAGGTATGCGTGCAGTCAATTCACATGAATGTGTCTGGAGGACTCCGACACTTTCGGACTTACAGCAAAACGCAGTGATCAATGGCCTTGAGATAGTTGCGCTTGCCCAGAATCAGCGGTGAAAAGTTCGGGTCCAGGGGTGCTGGCACCTGTCACTCAAGTAAAATCTCACATCGCGGCAGGGAAGTTAGAATTATAGAGTCAGTGCTGTCGGAAGCTGAGGCCCCTAGGTGAGGCGAACACTGATCTAGCTGGGCCATACAACTAATGCAATTTATTTTTGCAGAAAAGGCTTGCCAGTGACCAGTGACCCCGATCCGACATTGACCATGACCAAACGAAAACAACTGCAAGTCGGCAAGACGTCATTGTGTGTGCATGCAAACATCCACCCATGTCTTCAGTTTGAATGCAAGGTACTCGGCATGCATTCATGCCGCCGTCATCAGCATACTGCTCATCACCATCACCATCCTCCTCCTCCTCAACACCATCCCCCAAGCATCATTAATCATTACAAAAATTGACATCATCGGTCCACTGTCAGCCTTAGACCGTAGATGCGAGAGTCCGAATCATTCGGCTTTACCGAAACACTCGAGACGGGCGGCTGCTGGCCGCACCAGGAGCAGCTTCCTTGGCTTCTGCTCTGGATTTTATTGGCATTCACAACGACATCGGGATTTAAGAAATTTAAGGCCTGTCGAGGTCTTGGGGTCTCGGATGGGGGACGCTGGCAGAGCTTTGACAACCTTACTTTGCCCAGCCGCATGGCAGCCTCCGGCATTGGCGCCATCCTTCGACAGGAAAATGATCGCAGTATTTCTGCTTCGTGAATGAGTTCGGGGTGAAGGGATCGTTGGAGCTATATGGCTGGGGCTTGGCCTTTCTCCAAGAAGGGCTGAGGGATGTAGAATGCCCAAGCCACAACATCTCTGCCTGTTTTCTCAAATACCCCTTTCTTTGTAAACCGGGGCAGCTTGTAAAACCGTAAGAACCACACAACGGGCTACTTCGGTCCTGCAGACAAAATCGCCCTGCAGTGTTGCAGGGAAAGGGAGGACGCGCTCGAATGCCCAAATGGCTGCAACAATGCACATGCCGAGGATACGCAAACTGCCGAAAAACCTCCCCTGAGCAGATGAAACATAAGCTCTGAGAGCATTGGAAATCGAAGCGAATCAAACAAGAGAAAGCAAGGACACCACGATAGATTTCAGAACACATTCTATAACAACGCCCTCTGCAAAATCTACCGCTAGTACATCTGCACGGGACAGCGGTTGAGGTACTTACACAGGCTGTTGAACCGAACCCAGAAGCCGTAATTAGCGCTGGAAATGCCGTAAGTCCGATACGCAGGATCCCGTTTACGAGACCCCAGGTGATAAGCTAGCAGGTTCCTACGTGAACCCACTGTCCTGGTACCTGAAGCTACATTTCAAGGCGAAGTGCTCCAGCAATTCATTTCGAAAGCCCCCAAACCCCCTAGCCCGGTCGAAATTAATCCTTACAGCTTAGCTTCCCAAATGGTTTAATCATTTGAATAGCCTGAACCCTGCAAACCCTGGAAACTGGAAGCCCCATCACTCCCTCTCAAATCCGAATCCGGTTGCCCTTCCCCAGCCTCGACCACTTCGGCCTCAGCGCAAGCGCGACTCATTTCCTTTAACAGGCCTACCAAAATTCGGATCCTGAAGTCTGGTGGAAACCCTCATCGGCGTCCAGCCCCAAAGGACAAGGCACCACTGCTGGAACTACAGCGAAACCTCAGACAACATCGACAATTCGAAAGATCCAACCTGCATCAATGTCCTATCTCATGCCTACCTTTGCAAAGAATCTCTCCCAATGTTCCAACATGCGAGCGTGCTATAGCGTGCTGGTACAGCATGCCCAGAAAGGACCCTCGCGTACTGGATTCTGAGTTCCCGTAGAAGCCCAAAGTGGACGATTTTGCTGGACAAAATCAACACATGCCTCCGTCAAAACGCACGGACTCTAGATCGTGTGGCATCTTGCTTCATAGTTACCGAACTTCATCGTAGAAGGATTAGGGTGCAGTATCCTCCGACTCGGAAACGTTTTCACTCGCACATGTGAGGCTGCTGATTCCAGCTGCCTTATCTCTGAAGAGGGACCCCCGCAGAACCTGGCACCAGCTATGTCAAACGATCAGAACATGGTCTGGCGAACATCTGCCGAAGCCCTGAAGCTGTCGGCTCTCGAGACCCATCATAAAACACCCTTAACAAGACTCCTGAAGCCTATCTACACCCGAAGCTACAACATCTGGCCCAATCCGCCAAGCACCTGGAACTCAAACCACAAACACGCTACAGAGTAGAAGCCCCAGTTCCTAAATTCCTTCTACATAGAACCGAAGCCTTCAACCCTGGAAGGTCCAGGGCTGCAGCTCGTATCTCACGGTCGTTCTTCTGGATCTCCTGCTTGGGCCATCTTTTGTTTCAGGATCAAGGCATGGGTCTCTTGGGGGAATTATGACATGGGGCTTTGTGAGGTGTCGGGGGTTTAAGGGGGTCCGAGTCTGTGTACGGGTTCGACCCCCAAAAGCATCGGACAGTCAACTGCTCTGCAGTTTGGGGATCCGACGGGTTAACGAGTCGGTGACTTTACCCTGGGAAATGCACCGGCCCAAATCGGATGGGGCAGGCTAGGGCGGTTTGGGTTCCATGCTCGTGTAGGAGAGAGCACTCCTAGGGTTTCAGGGGGCTGTGGGGTTGCAGGGTCCGGGCAATGCAACCCTGCAAGGCAGATTGCATAACGACTTTTCAGTCTCATCATGATGACTGAGGTTTCTTCCTGGGTGTTGCAGCTTCAACCCGACACCCCAAGTTCTTTAATTGAAACCTTTACAGGACACCGCCGGCTCACGTACTTGCCCAGGACATCCGAGCAGTGCCTGTCGGAGATTGCTCTCCGCTTGGAGCATCGCAGCAGACCTCGGAGGCAGGACATGGACCCGGCCGGTCTCATAGAGTTTCTGTACCGACTGGAGGACAAGAACACATGATAAGAACAGTCGCCGTGCTGTGTGTGTGTGTGTGTGAGTGTGTGTGAGTGTGTGTGTGTGTGTGAGTGTGTGTGAGTGTGTGTGTGTGTGTGTGAGTGTGTGTGTGTGAGTGTGTGTGAGTGTGTGAGTGTGTGTGTGTGTGTGTGCGTGAGTGTGTGTGAGTGTGTGTGTGTGTGTTTGTGTTGAAGTGCGATGTGATGCAATGCAGCGCAACGCAGTGCAGCATGGAATGGGTGAATGGATGGATGGATGGACGGATGGATGGACGCATGGACGGATGGAAGAATGAAATCAGGAATTAATGCGTGAGTGAATGAATGAACGACGAACGAGTGAATGCTTGCATGCATGTAATTATGTGTGTATTCATGTGTAAACACTTCAGATACTCAGCTGAAAGCCATTGGCAAAGAATAACATGAACAGCGCCTTGGGTCTCGACACTTCCTCGATACCTTTTCCAAGATCTCCGGCACTCTGGGAGATGACCTGGGCAAAGCTGGGCACTGGGGTGTTGCGTTGTGGGATTCAGAAACTTCGGATGTAGAGGCTTTGTGAGTCGAAGGTTGATCCGGTTCCTGTTTTCGGACGACATCATCACATGGGAGTTTCCGAAAATAGGGGGTACCTTATTTTGGGGTCCTTATAATAAGGATCCTACTATTTAGGGTAGCATATTTGGGTCCCCTATTTTCGGAAACTCCCACATAGGACCGCAAGAGCCTGGTGAAGCGAGCGTTGCTCCTCACTTGCAGCGCTCTGGAGACGAACCTGCGACTTGCAACATGGGCTCGGGGTTGAAGATCCCTTAACAACTGCAGCCGCGAAGCCCAGCTCGCTGTACCAGCTACCAATGATTTCGCTGTTCGACTGCTTAATCTGACCTATCTATATCGACATTCCTCTTGTGGCCGCTGATAATCCCTTGTGGGCATCTTGCAGAAGTCCTACGTGGGCCCCATTGCGACTGACAAGCAGACTATGTCGACTGCATAGAGTCATAGATGGGGGAAAAGTAAAGCCCACCGGTATTTGCTCCGGCGACTCGGGCCCCCAAAACGAAACGACGGCACCGAGTGCCTTCTCCTGGACCTCTGAGCAATCTCTCTGCAAGGACTGGATAAGCTTCTCGACCTGCGCTTGCGAGTTCAAAAAGCTTTTCTGTAGGGTATGCTGCGGGTTCTACAGGGCTCTTGAAAGGCAACGAAAGGACGAGCCTCGCAATCAGATCACTTCATGTGGTAAGTTAGTTCAGGTGTCAGACAAAAGCCAGCGCGAGGGTATTGAAAGTGTCCGGCTTGTGGCCACAGGATCTAGGAGACCCAAGCCGAACACTTTGAAAACCCTCGCTCTGGCTTTTGCCTAACCCCTGAACTGGCCTACCACATGAAGTGGTCGGATTGCAATGTCTGGGCTTTAGCTGTGCCGAAACTCGCTTGAGAAGCAAGGCATCGTGAAAGACCGATGCGCAAGGCACCATATACTTTAGATGTTTTTGTGACATATAATATAAACAGGATTCCTGGAGAGCCTCTAGGCTTTGCCCAGCCCTGAGATTCAGGGCTTGATGCTGCAGACAAGTCGTCGGACTTCCCTTGAGATCGCACTGCGATCTGGCCAGC